GAAAGGCTTTCCCAGAAATCTTTTTTCCCTCCACCATGAGCTGCAAAAATTTTTTTTACTGTTCATGCAGTTCAGCTTGAAGCTGCTGTTATGCTCAACGCTGTTATGCACTTTTGGATCCTGAAGTATCCAAACGGCTATAGTGAGATGTTTATAGACTGACAAAAACTACAGCCCCAATTCAGCAAATATTTATGTACATGCTTAGCTTTAGATCCAGCTTTTTACAGGTATTCAGGAATAATTGTGCTTAGTGTTGCAATACTTAACCGATTTGGGAACCTAAATCTCATTTTCAAAAGACATTTAGGAGCCTAAAACCTATTGGCAGTCAATGGGATTTAGGTTCCTAAGTCCCTAAAAGCCTTTTGAAAATGAGAGCCTTTAAAAATCTGAGCCTTAGTCCCATTGTGATTATTCACGTGCTTAAAGTTAAGCACATACATAAACATTTGCAGAATCAGGGCTGAAGGGAAAGGGTTTTTTAATAACTTACTAGAAATGAGGGTATGCTTTTAAAATGCATTCTTTTTTCCCCAGAGCAAATTTTAAAACTTTTAAGTGAAATTGCTGAATTTGAAATCTTCTAGGGGAAGGGAGGAGAGACATCTTTTGCTATGTTACTAATATCTACTTAAATTGTTAGAATGAAAAGTACTGAAAAGAAATTTCTTTTTGTTATTTCTTTTCATGTATTTTCTACACTTCAGTCATGCTGGACAACGAAAACTGACTAGTCAGATTAATTTGTTTCTCATTTTCTTAAAATGTTTTTAAAAGATAAAAAACAGAACAATGGGATATTTGCATGTCAACAGAAATAAAAATGTAAGAAAAATGTTTTCCAATATTGAAAAACTTTATTTTACACATCCAACACCCACATAGTGGGCCTTTGCTATCTAACAGTGCCCTTTAATCCATGGGTTTTACCTGTTCTCAATGATACATATTTGAAAGGTATACATTTAAAAATAAAACACCACATTGGAGAAAATCCCTATTTCTAATTAAGTACTTTTCCCATTTTCTCCTAATTATATGGAAAAATTCTTCAATATTTTCCCCCAATTATAATTAGTCTTAATACTGTATTGAACATAGGGAGTTTTCCATTAAAAATTTCCTAAAATGTTGGTCTGATTCTTATAAATAATTGTTTTAAACCAATCTATCTACAGAAAAAAAAATCACCAAGGATAGCAACAGAAAATTCACCAAGTATAGCAACAGTTTAAGGTTTTTCACGTTGTGCTCCTTACATGCAGTGTATGTCTTCACTGCAAGAAAAAGTGCTTTCTTAACTCAAGTTAACTATGGTAATATGATTTAAAATAGCAGTGAATACCAACTTACTTTTAACTCGGGTTAGCAGCTTGAGTTCATTCCCCGCTCCCACTTGTGGCGCTAACTTGAGGCAAAAGTCAAGTTGCTATGTCCTCACTGCTAATTTAACCTAACTTAGCCAACCTGAGATAAAAACCACACTTTTTTTCCTCTTTTTATTTTTTTCCAGTGAAGACGTACCAATAATGGTGAGAGAGGTCAGTTACCATGGATGGCCCATTCAATACTTGGCCTCTCTGCTAACAGAAGTCCCAATGAGTGCCAACTGCGAAGGTTTGGAGGGAGAGGGTATTGATTTGTTTTCATTGGGAACAGGACAGAGGACAATTAATTTCACACAAGCTACATAGCTGCTGGCAGACAGTAACAACTTTGACTCCCTAATGACCTGATAAGTATTGAAAATATTGGCTAGCTACTGCTGAAAGACTCCACAGGACCAGAGCCCATCACTGATCCCTTCAGCCATCCAATCCCCACTGTATTTTGACTTTTTGGTTTAATTAGAATTGACTTAAAATAGATTTTTTGTTAAGTCAGTACATTTAAAAAGCAACATACTAAAGGCCAGATCCCGCAACTGGATCCATGGAGATAGGTTATATGTAGGTATTTGGGGTCTACATGCATCCAGTTGCAAGATCAGCTCCTCTAAACATTTTACCCCAAGTTCAAAAGTAACATTTAGCGGTCCAAGCTTACAAATGGCATATAATGGAGCCCATATCAATCCAAGAAAGCTACTCTAAGTTTTTTTTTTTTTTTTTGGGGGGGGGGGGGTAGAGAAGGGGTTTAAAATTGAATGCTCTTCCATATTAAAGTCAGCTTAATGTCTCCACCAATGAGATTCAATCCATTTTAATATTCCACTGGATTCTCTTTAACAATTGAACTTGATAAAGTTGTGTTCTTCCTGATGATACCACTAAATAAAAAGCTTTGTTGGAAAAAAGTTAAAGGAAACATATCTATAAATTTAAAATGACCTTTATTAAAATCATAGAATCATAGGACTGGAAGAGACTTTGAGAGGTCACCTAGTCCAGTCCCATGCATTCATGGCAGGACTAAGTATTATCTACACCACCCCGGACAGTTATGTCTAATCTGCTCTTAAAAATCTCCTATGATGGAGATTCCACAACCTCCCTAGGCAATTTGTTGTAATTTTAGCACAAAAAAGATTGCTGAAAGTTAGTAAACCTGGAGTTAAAGTTAAACACAAACATCTGAAAGACAAGAAATTAAAAGTCTGTTAGGTCAAAAAAATAAATGCTGGAAAGACCCTAGATATTTGTTAATACTCTAACACTGTGACCATTACCTTTGCTCGCCCACTAGCTGCTGCTTGAAAAAAAATTTAAGCATCCCCTGTTGCACATATAAATTACAGTAGCATGGTCATTTGCGGAACAGTCATAATTTGCACCCACCCTGCTAACTTACATCAAGATCAGGGAGAAATTCAGGACTGTCTTTTGCAAAGGAATGTCTCATCTTTGCAGGTATGCAGCCTGTATATTAAGGCTCATACTGAGAATTTTGATCTCTAATCTATAGCTGGCCAACACTGGATAAATGATCAGGATAAGGAAAGGTATACAATTCATAATGTGGTGAACAAAGACAAGGTCTAGTATAAAGCAACAGAGAGTCCTGTGGCACCTTTAAGACTAACAGATGTATTGGAGCATAAGCTTTCGTGGGTAAATGCCCACTTCGTCGGATGCATGCCGATGAAGGTCTAGTATGGCTCACGAGGGCTATATGAAAAATGTGAGGTTTTGACCATACTATGTAAATGATAAAGAAACTGATATCCAACCACTCATTTGCGTATGTATTGGGGAAACAGGCATTAACAGTTTATAACCCAGTATATAGTTGAAACCTGTGGCTCATAACTAAAAGTTGGATACAAAAAGATGGGGGTAAAGAGAAAGATCAGAGTTAAGGAAGGTGTTGAAAACTTTACTGGGGTGCTCTGTAGTGACATATAGGAGTTTTGAACTTATAGCCTTGTAGTGTGATCACTTCCAAATGCTCGGTTTTGTTAAATATTATACAACTTTCTAATGTTTTTAATTAATTTGTTTCCTCCCTTAACACAATCTTAAGTTTTGTTTGGGAATTTTCTTGATTTGTTTCTGAATTTTTATTTCTTTGTAACAAGCCTGATATGTGAAAACTTGATATAGTTGTACTCACAATAGTTCAGAGTACAAAGAGTGTCAGTTCTAGGACATCTGGGGCACTTATAAGATACACAGGAGTCCAGCCCCAGCTTTTTTTAAAATAGTACACAGACAATGCTTAGCAGAAAATACTTATAAAAGCAATATAATCTTGAAGGATCCCAAAGAGTTATAGAAAATATATACATATAGCATAATTAATGCAGCCACCTTAAAAGTTGAAAGCTCAGCACCCACCCTTCTGTACTTAGTTTTTCTCCATCTGCAAAATGGGTATACAATAATAGTGGTGTTTTGATGCTTCATTAACTTATGTTTGTAAGCACTATGAAATCCAGGGATGAAAGTCAATATATAAATGTACAATACTAAAGACTAGATTTGGTGTTTGATTAGAAAAATTTTTTTTGCCCAAATCTCTCTGTGCTGGTATGGGAAGTTACATATTAGTCATATGAAGGTTCCCATTGCAAGTTCTTGTCCAGGTATTCTATAAAATGCTGGCTAAGCAAATTGAGGAATTATTTATATAAATTAGGCCCATTTTGATAAGATACTTAAAAATGCAAACGGCAAACTCTGACCAATATGATAAATATTCCATAACAGCTGTACAAATTGTCAGAATTAAACAAGTTTCAAGAATAATCCAAATGAGCTGCATCAGTGAAACGCCACAATCACCCAGTCAAACCTAAACTCAAACCCACAAAACAAACCAAAAGAGATGGAGGGAGGGAAAAATTCATAATTAAACACAAGCACGAAAGAGGTGGGTTTGATCTAACGTTCGTGACTGAGTTTTACTTTCTATTCTGCCTACCTTATTAAAAAAAGTTTTTGCTGTCCTAACTCTACAGATGGGCCTCCTTTGCTAGGGTGAACAAAAAAGAAAAGGCCTAAAAAACAGTCACTAGGTGGAAATAAAACATCTTTTCACACAAAAGTAAACAACCAACCCTCTCACCTGCTCTAAATGTCAGCACAAACCAATCCCCACCGAACATC